GCAAAATAAGCCAGTCAGAGAAAGAAAAATACCACATGATCTCACTCATACATGGAATCTAATGAACCAAATAAACTGATGATAAAAATAGACCCAGAGACACAGAATGAACAGACTGTTGAACCCCAGAGAGAAGGCATGGGAGGGTAGCTGGGAAGAGATCAACCAATGAACTTGTATGCATCTATGTATAACCCATGGACACAGAAAATGGGCTGGTGAGGGCCAGGAGGGGGCTGGGACGGGAGCGGCCTGGAAGAGGTAATGGGGGAAAAAGAGGACCTATGTAATTCTTTCAACAATAAATATTTTTTAAAAATAAATGAATATATAAAAATAAAAGAAAACCTTAGTGATATGATAACAATAGATTTCTACTTAGTCTTCACACCATGCAGCAAAGGCCCCTACTGTTTTCATCAACAGGAACTCTCAGTCAAAATCAAAGAAATAATATATTCTCCTATTAGAGTTGATAGTTGAGTGTTGAAAATCAAAACATTTAATAGAACATTCAGGAATCACTAAAATAGAGCTAACTAAAATAGAAAAATTTCTTCCTAATAGGAAATAGGTTCTTTCCTAACCTTGTTCATGGATTTGCCTGGTGTTCAAAATATAAACTAGGTTACCTTGATTAACCCCATTTTGCTTTGTGAAAATCTGCTGCATGGTTGATTGTATAATCACAAAGAAGAAAAATAAATAATTTCCATTTGTGGTGAGTGGGCACATGGTTTGCTGGAAAAGGATAACTACTGGTCAGACTTTAAGTTTAGCTCTGTGTCAGTCACACCTAGACATTGAGTGGCCTTTTTACAGATGGTGAGCAAGATGATTCTGTGTGGATGACAGCAAGCAGAAATCTCGTTTTGCATTTGTATGTGTGCATATGTGTATGTGAGTGTACGTGTTAATCCTGACTTGATTGGATTATAGATGAGATTAATTGAAGAAAGTACATTTAAAAAGAGGGTTTTCATTTTAGTTTTATTGTAGTGAGCGGTATTTTTTAATTTTCTTAAAAGGCACCCAAGAATAATTACCTTTGTGAACCAAAAATATACAAAACTGTACAGAATAAATAGTTCATAGAAATCTAGCTATACTTTCTTGTAAAATAAAGCTACATTGTGCCACTCTTGAGGCAACTTAAACCACTTACCTTCAGAAGTGCCTTTTGCAACTAATTTATGGCAACTATCATTATACATCAATAAAAATATAATTACACATTTTCCTATTTGTTTTACGCCTGTGAATTACTTGCCACAAGAAACATATTTCTATCATGGTCATTCAAATTTACAAAGGATCAATGCTATAAAGGAAACTAAACTTCATATATGCACTAATCATATTTACAGTTGAATATCAGTAGCATTTTAAAATTATTCCAAGAATAAGAATTAAACTTTGAGCACAAATGACATACCTTAGCTCACAGCAGCATTTACAGTAAGATTGTCCACACAGGGTGTGCAGAAAACCCCCAAAGTTTGCTTATTCATTCCACCTGTAATACTAACCATTCTTAATTTGAAATTCAGAAAGCAGAGTCGGGGCATTTTTTTTTAACCTGCATTAAGTTTAGCTCTGTGTCAGTCACACCTAGACACTGAATGGCCTTTTTACAGATGGTGACCAAGATGATTCTGTGTGGATGACAACAAGCAGAAGTCTCGTTTTGCATTTGTATATGTGTATGTGAGTGTACGTATTAATCCTGACTTGATTGGATTACAGATCAGATTAATTGAAGAAAGTACATTTAAAAAGAGTGTTTTCATTTTAGTTTTATTGTAGTGAGCGGTATTTTTTAATTTTCTTAAAAGGCACCCAAGAATAATTACCTTTGTGAACCAAAAATATACAAAACTGTACAGAATAAATAGTTCATAGAAATCTAGCTATACTTTCTTGTAAAATAAAGCTACATTGTGCCACTCTTGAGGCAACTTAAACCACTTACCTTCAGAAGTGCCTTTTGCAACTAATTTATGGCAACTATCATTATACATCAATAAAAATATAATTACACATTTTCCTATTTGTTTTACGCCTGTGAATTACTTGCCACAAGAAACATATTTCTATCATGGTCATTCAAATTTACAAAGGATCAATGCTATAAAGGAAACTAAACTTCATATATGCACTAATCATATTTACAGTTGAATATCAGTAGCATTTTAAAATTATTCCAAGAATAAGAATTAAACTTTGAGCACAAATGACATACCTTAGCTCACAGCAGCATTTACAGTAAGATTGTCCACACAGGGTGTGCAGAAAACCCCCAAAGTTTGCTTATTCATTCCACCTGTAATACTAACCATTCTTAATTTGAAATTCAGAAAGCAGAGTCGGGGCATTTTTTTTTAACCTGCAAATTGGCTCACTCATAGCCCATATAATTTGACCCTCTATATTTTTCTTTACCTATTACTATTTGTAACTTTAAAGATCCAGTTCCTTTTGCCTTTACTGTAATAAAATCAGATGCATTTGACAATGCACGTTTGTTCAGTACATCTACTGGTTATATAAACAATATATTCCTTACGTATTATAACTACATGTACAGGTATAATTTTAAAATGACAAAATCCAATTCTCTTCAATCCACAAGTAAAGTAATTCAAGAAAATTGTGGTTACTCAAATAGTCAATCCTTTTAGATGCGTAAGAGGACGTCTGTGAAACACTTTAAAGTATGTGGAGAAATATTACTATCATCCTTGAATGATCTACATGCAAGGATTTATTTTGTTGGGGACAGACAAAATTACCAAAAGACAATGCAATGGCTTCTCCCATTGATCCCTGAGTTTCTTTCTTTTCTTTTCCCATAGAAATACTGCTGTGCTTAAATTCTGACTGATGACACACTCATGTAAGGCACTTTATTTTACAAGATTTCGACGTAAGACAGAATCACAGCATTTCTGAAAAAGCCTTCAAACTCTCCATCTATGTTTGCTGCTCCAGGACTTCTAAGTAGTCAGGTTCAGCATGTAAGTTAGCTTTGAGCTCAAAATATTCATTTTTAGTCTGTTCCACTAATACCTTCCTTGGCCTTGAGTACATTAATGTCTCCATTAATTTTAACTCTTCGTGGGCTCCCGGATAATGTACCTCCATATCGGGCTTGAGTTGAGCAATGTTTTTCTTTAGGTACTCCGTGATTCCCAGTTGCTGAAGTTCTCTTTCCTTCTCTAATATGTTCCTATATAATGAACTGGCATCTTGGAAGGATAAAAATTCAGTCGATTGGTCCGTGGTTCTGTACTTCATGTTAGACCCTGTGAGTGGTGAATGGTTTTCCCGTTCTAGAAGACTTCTTTGGAGATGTTTTGCATCACTCCCCTCTTTCTCATTCTTTTCTTCTTCCGCTTCCAAATGCTTTGGACCAAAGGATGGGCTTCTGTAGACATGAACCATGGGGCTCACGATGTGAGGTTCATAGAGTGATGCAGTGGGTCTTTCAGTGGTGTGGTGAGTTGTTTTATGGCCATACATACTATATTGAAGATGGACGGGACTGCTGTCTCTGATCTGCTCGTCTGCTTGTTTCTTTTTGTATCTTCTCCTGCGGTGGAGAACAAGAACCACTATCCCTGCAGCGCAGAACACAATAGTTATGAACACAATCAGCAGTCCTAATATTAAAACAGAGAGTGGTACAGCATCGGTCAGCGATCTTAAAATAGTATCGGCTGTAGGAGTACTGACAATTACATAACTAGTCTGAGTTGGCGGGGATGGGTTATTGACCAAACCTGGGCAAAGAAGTTCACTATTTAATGCTTTTAATTCCTTCTTGGCGAGGTGCTCTGGAGACGTGCAAAGGATGTCATCCGTCACTGTGTTCTTACTTAACTTTTGTATCCATTGCTGCAACCCAACAAGGTCACAGGAGCAATCCCAGGGGTTGTCTTCAAGGTCAATCTGGATCAGTAAATCAAGGTCATCCAAGATATTACTTACAGGGAGATGAGTAAAGTGGTTCGTTTTAAGATTTATCCTTGTTAGCGGAACATCTGAAAATATATGTGGTGGTAAAACTTGTAACAGATTGTTATTTAAATACAGGACTCTAAGTTTAGGCATTGGGTTAAAGGTTTCTGGTAATATTTCCTTAATTGCATTATATTCAAGATATAAGTATTCAAGATTGTGAAGACCAAGGAACATGGCTCTACTTAATTTGGTCAGATGGTTCCCATTTAAGTAGAGCTTCTGTAGTCTTGTTAGATTCATAAATGATCCTTCTTCAAGAACCTCAATGTGATTGTTCCCCAAATGAAGCATTTCCAGAGTGCCATATTCCACTAGATCAGACTTCATTAATGTATGAATAATATTTCCCGCTAAAATGAGCTTTCTAGGGTCTTGTGGAGGTGGTTTTAGATCTGATATACTCTCAATATTGCGTTCTTGACAGTGTATTAGAAGTCCTGATGGGGATAGTACTTTGCAGTTACAAGGAATAGGACAGTAGGGTCCAGGAAGCTGAGTGGATGGCTTTGTAATATACGGTATCAAACCCGGTGCTTTGGTGGGTGGTTTTAAAGGGGATGTGGTCTTGATTAACATGCGGCCGTCACTTATTGAAGATGTTACTGCCAGATGCAATGATCCTGAAGGGTCCTCATGTTCTTCATACACTGGTGGAGTGGGGCAAACCGATTCCTTTTTCAGTCGGCTTAGTATGCTTCCTTTGAACACCGGAGGGCTGTTGCACACAACATCACCAATTATAGACTGTGGGGGCATGTTTTCCAGCCAAATTTTCAGCTGCAGTAAGTCACAATTGCAGGCCCATTTGTTGTCCTCCAACTGGAGATCTAATATTCTGCCGATGTGTTCTAAGAAACCAACATAAGGCAATGTCTGCAACTGATTTCCACGAAGATCTAGGTGGGTTAAAGGAACAAATCGAAATATGTTTGCAGGCAGACTCTCAATAGCATTGTCATTTAAAATTAACACTTTAAGCCTGTTGAGCTTGCTAAAGGCACTTGGTTCGATCACTGTAATAAAGTTGTTATCTGCTTGTAGGAACTCCAGATTTTCCAGCCCATGGAAGGTGTCCTCTTTAAGAATTTCTAAAGAATTGTGGTTGATATGGAGCTGCTTTAGAAGGTCAAGGCCATTAAATGCACCACTCTCGATATCTGCAATGTTGTTAAATCCAAGGTGTATTGAGACAGCATTCCTAAGCCCAGAAAAGTCATTTGTGTGGAGCATTGTCAAGCCATTATTTAATAAACTTAAGTGGAAAGGTCGTGATGGTGGCACACTTATTTGCGATAGCGTCTTGATACCTTTTTCTTCACAGTTTATTAAAATGGTGCCGTCTTTTTCCTCACAATTGCAAAGAGAATCACAAGAACCTCTGGCCGAGGACCCTGTAGACTGGGACTGTGAAGACATATAGGCAAGGAGAGATGAGTATAAGAGATGAATCCACAGCTTCATGTTGTCATGTGGTGGGATCTAATTCTGCAAAATAAAATGCAATAACAATGGGGTTTAGTGGGCAGGAGCAGGGAGGAGAAGGATCTGACATTTTCAAAAAGATAGGTTTTCCTCTACAAAGAGAAACTTTGCTTACTGTGAAAATGTGAATACTTTGCTGCATCGATGCTGTCCTTTTACTTTTTCCTAATGTGATGGCAGGTGTGTGTTAATTTACGTTTAACTTGCATTGTGATCAAATTATAAAATGTAAGTGAAGGAGAATTTAAAATATGATATCACCAGTTGTGTTCACATCTGCCAAATGAACTGCATTTCTACAGATGGCAGGGGTGTTGGCTACCTGGGCCACTGCTTTTTTGATATAATGCAATGGTGTATATTTGAGACAACCTTGATGTTTTTTTAGCCACAAAGTACATGAATCTGAGGCCAAAGGATTAAAGGAAAAGATAAATATGTAGGTATTAGGCAAAATCAGAGAACTGTAGAGAATTTTTAAATGATAGAAAAAAGGTATTATATATGTATGCATGCATTATACATATTTTTATTCATATTTTTGAACTTGATGTCACAATATAGCATCTAATAATGTGTCTATGCTTTAACCTGCTTTGATTTTGGTTCAATATACTT